AGTAAGTCACTCCTAGTTCCACTCTCAGCTCTGAGGAAAAATATGGTCTATAGAGAGAACAAGCAGGGCCACCAGACAGAGGCTGGGGGTGCACACCTACTCGCTAGGCAGTAAGCTCCAAGGGAAAAGGGACACTAAGTCCTGCTAAGTGTCTCATCACCGAGGGGGAGGGGGGGTGTCCTCTTCCCGGAAAAAGTTGAAGCCTACCTAGCCTACCGCCACGTGTCCTCGCACTAAGGATCCGAGGACAGTTCTGGGATTCCAACCAGATGCAGATTCCCCCCCCCACACACACACTATAACACTTCTCCAGTTACGCACAGTGACTGATCCCCGCAGGCTTTCTCGGGCGACCGCAGGTCCAGACTCTACCCTCCGGACTTCACAACGAATAGGGGGTACCAAACCACAGGGTTCTCAGTGTCACCCCTATTGCGAGGGGTCCTCCCCGGCTCCCTAGGTCTGACAAAGCTGCGTTTCCCAGCCCTGAAGACAGGACGTGACCCCCTCTCCCTGAACCGACTCCCTCCTTCGGCCGCCCTAGGCAGCACCGCGGTTCGGGTGTCCAGCAAGCCCGCTCCCTTCTCGCCCAGCTCAGGAAACAACCCACGCCTGAGACTCCAGATGCCAAAGCACGGACGTTCAGCTAGTCCTTTGTTTGAGTGTGCCTGTCGCGGGCCTCCATTCCCAGCCTGGGTCTCTCCGGCGCTTGCATCCCAGGTCCGAAGGTTTCTCTTCCCGCCATTGTCTCCCCTGGGGTGCAGACGCGCCCAATGCCCGCGCTCACCGTGGCATCCTGACCCGCGTAGTGGTTGAGGACACGATGGCCCCCCGGGTGGCGGCGGCGGAATTCGCTGATGTTGTACACTTTTCGGTCGATCACGAGCCACGACTCCTTCTCCGGCTCGGAGTGCTGAGCCACCTCCTCCCAAGTAAAGTAGCGTGGTTGGAGGAGCTCGGTCGAGGCCGGGACCGTGGTCGGAACCGGGTCAGGAGCCATAGCCGGCCTGGCAAAGTCAGCCAAAGCAGGAGAGGCGCGCGCTCGGGGCCGCGGGACAGCGCACGCCGGCCTAGCGAGTTAGGGGAGCGTCGAGCAGCCGAGAGCGCGCGCCCGGAGCCCGCTGTCTGCGCGCAGGCTTTTCAGTACCCTCGGCGACCGGCCGAGGCGCGCGCCCCCATTGGCTGAGCCGAGTGGCGTGGGGGTGCGAGCTCCGCCTCTCTCGGGCCAGCAAGGACTGACGCCCCCAGAGGGATTTCTCCGCCTTTTAGCGGCCGATCCGCGCCCTCTCGCGGATGCCTGAAAGTGATCACCAGACGTTTCCACTTCTGACTCCGGTTTGGTTGAGCATTGTAGAAACTGACAGGATAACGGTTCTGTGGGTGCGCCACAGCTTCCTGCAGCTGAGGCGGGGAGGCCCCAAGTGTGCGTAGAAGAAGCGTGGTGAGAGCGTATGAAAAAGAAAATAGTTTGGAGACAGGTTCTTAAGCAGCCCAGGTTGGCCTCAAACTCACTATGTAGCTGAGAATGACCTTGAACTTCGGATCCTCCTGAGTTCGGAGTTTACAGGCACCCTGTTTTATGAAGCGCTGGAGATTAACCTGTACATTGTTCATGCTAAGGCAAACGTTGTATCAATCTCCTGCCCCGAGGAAACACTTGACAAGTTAAATCCAGCTCTCTGAGCAACGAAACAACAGCCTGACCCAGTAGACGTTCAGAGACCCCTTTCTAGGAAGATGGATAGGTAGTATGTGTGGACAGAAGAGGGGATTGTCATAAAGAAATAGTCTGGTTGACTACAGTTCCAAGTATTTGTCTTATGTGGATTTAGATGAGTTTGAGCACTCTGCAGCCAAGGCTACCAGAAGTCTTGTCAGCTATTATTGGCCAACACTTTTGACTTAAAGAATGGATTGTTTAGGAACCAGATGGGTCAGCATGATAAAGGTCCTTGATACCAAAGCTGAAGACCTGAGTTTCATTCCGGAGACTCACCTGGTAGAAGTAGAAAAACAGCTCCCACAGGTGTCCTCTGACCTCCACTCACACACTGACAAAGTGGAGGAAGGGGACTTAGGAAAGCAAGAAATGGGGGGAGGGAGGAAAAAGCTTTCTTGATGACAAATTGTCTTGGGGAGAGCTGTCTGTGACTAGGGTGCCTGCTGCTTCAGGAGGCAAGTCCTTGATCATCTTAATTCAGTGGTATAAAGGGGATACTTTGGGAGTCTGGAGACCCCCACCCCATGTGCAGTCTGGAGAGTGTCACCTCCTCTGTGTGTGTGTGTGTGTGTGTGTGTGTGTGTGTGTGTGTGTGAGAGAGAGAGAGAGAGAGAGAGAGAGAGAGAGAGAGAGAGAAAGAATGTTCCCATGGTCATGCACAGGTATGCAAGTATGTGTGGAGGCCAGAAGACAACCTCAGGAATGCCATCTACCTCCTTTGAGACAAGATCTCTGACTGGCTTGAAGCTCACCGGGTTGGCTAGACATGCTTAGCCATTGATACCCAAGGAACCGACCCGACCCTCCTACCTCCGCCTCCCCAGGGCTGAGATTCTAAGCACTTTGCCAACATGGCTACCGGTTTACATGGGTTCTTCAGGTCAGACTCAGCCCCTCACCTTTCTAAAAGAAAATCCATGCGCTTTGTCAAGTGAGCCATCTTCCCAGCCCCAAGGAATCCTTTGGAATAGAGAGATATGGGCCCCAAATTTCAGGGCCTGAAGTTTTGCTGCATGGAAGTTCCTTCTGATGTAAGTCAGCATTTCTCTGATGTTGTTTTCAAAAAGACCCTGGTTCTGGATTGTGCATGGTCTGGTTGCCATCAGTTGCTGGCTTGTACTTGGTAAACATATGCTGTGGTGTTGATGTCATATGACCTATGTCGTAGTTTATAGCAATTTCATTTATCAGGGTGATGTCTTTCTGCCATAAAGAGTTGTGTTTTCCCGTGGGACCTGAAGTGATTGCCATCAGTAGGATAATCCAGTTGACTTGGTTAGCTTTGCCTGATGCATGGTGTTTGTGATACCATAGCCATCCTGCAACTTGCTCGGTGAAAGCGAGTCTTGCTCATTTGCTGCTGATGTCACCAGTGTCACCAGGATTGCTCCATAAGGGAAATAGTATCTCCAACACCTTTTGAATAAAGAAGAAAAATAAGGGTTGGTGAGCTGGTTCTGTCAGTAACAGCACTCTGGGAGCTACATGATGGAAGGAGAAGACTGACTCTTGCGGTTATTTTCTGACCTCCACATGTCCTCCCCACAACTAAAATGTAATAATAAAAAATAAGGCTAGCTCCATGGCTCAGGAGGTAAAAGTGCTTGCTGCAAAAGTAGGTGACCTGAATTGGATCTCTGGGACCTACATAATGGAAGGAGGGAATTGACCTTCACATGTTTGTCCTCTGACCCATACATGTAATTCATGACACACTTATGCATGTGCACGCGCACACAGGCACAGACAGACAGACACACACACACTATGGTGGTTTGAAAGAAAATGGACCCAAAAGGGAGTGGCACTATTAGGAGGTGTGGCCTTATTGAAGTAGCCGTGGTCTTGTTAGAGGAAGTGTGTCACTGTGAAGGCCGCTTTTGAGGTCTCATATATGCTCAAGCCACACCCAGTTAGTCAGTTTACTTCCTGTTGTCTGAAATTCAAGATGTAGTACACTTGGCTACTTCTCCAGCACCATGTCTGCCTGCACATCATCTTGTTGCACCGTGTTGATAACAGACTGATCCTCTGAACTGTAAGCCACCCCAATTAAATGCTTTCCTTTATAAGAGTTTCCATGGTCATGGTGTCTCTTCATAACAATAGAAACCTTAACTAAGGCACACACACAAATAAATGTAATTTAAAATTTTTAAATAAGAGAAATAAAAATGGAGAAAGACCAGCCTTGGCCTGTTTGCATACTTGCACATAGTTTTAACATTCATTATTTCTAGTAATTTTAGTTACATATTATTTTGCTGTTTTGTTCTGGGGAGGGTCTCTGTAGGCAGCCTTGGCTGACCTGGAACTCACTATGATAAACGTCTCTACATTGCAACAGTCACTCTGCTTCGACCTCCCAAGCCCTGGAACTGTAGGCAGGAACCACAGTGCTTCACTGGTTTATTAATTGAAATTATCCAGTCTTGGTGGCCTTAATTTTCAGGAGATATTAGGAAGCAATTAATTGTGAACGTCATACCACAGCAGCAGGAGTGATTCATACCAGCAATGTGCAGGTTGGTGAATCTAGCAATCCCTGTGTCTAGAAGCGTATACTTCTCTCAGCAGCTTGTCAACACAGCACCAAACCTGTTCACTGACAGTTCTGTGTATTGCTAGTCTGTCTGTAACGAGGAACTTTACAGGGGGCAGAACACCATTCCTATCCTTGTAGGAGTCTTTGCTCTCGTTGTGCCTAAGAGTAAGAGTTAAATTGTCTATACAGATAGCCTTCAGCCTCAGTTTTCCATTATTGATCATAGTATTAAACCATTCTGGCATCAGAAGTATTAATTTTATTAATTTTATGTGGGAATTTTGTCTTATAGCAACACTTAAAATTTTTAAATTGTGTTTATTTATTTAGGGTGTTTGTTTGCCTGTATGTGCCTGTGCTCACATATATGCATGCCTCAGACTATGTGTAGACATCAGAAGACAACTTGTAGGAGTCTGTTTTCTCCTCCTACCATGTGGGTCCCAGGGACTGAACTCAGGCCATCAGACATGTAACAAGTGCTTTTGCCTGCTGGGCTATCTCATTGGCCCTTTGTCACATATTTTGAACAGTTAACACTTAGATCGCCATATTAGTTGCTTTTTCACTACTGTGACGAAATGCCTGAGAAGATGTCGCTTACATCAAAAACAGGGCGACTAAGCACAGGAGGGATTGGGGAGGGGAGAGGGGAGGGAAATGACTGCAACTTGCTCCCAGGGACTGGAGAAATTTAAAAAATAAAAGGAAAAGAAAAAAGAGGGTCGGAATCCATCAGTCTTCTGTGCCAGTCATCCTTGCCTTCATCCTCCTCGCCTTCTTCCCCTTCATCATCATCTTCATCTTCATCTTCTTCACCTTCATCAATATCTTCCAAGCCTCCTTCTTCTTCATCATCACCATCTTCTGCCTCTGCTCCTTCATCGTCCATATCAGGAACCAAATAGTACTGCAAGGGTTTGGCCAGATGTCGTCTGTGATGACCTCTCCTACCTCATCTGCACCTGCATCAGAGTGGTCAGTAAACCAGGTAAGGAAGCTCTCTGGCTCTTCGTGTTGTCTCTTCCTGCTGGCCTTATTCTGTGTTTGACTCGAGCGTTTTGTCAAATCCCTTCTAGATTTCCATTTGATTTCAGTGGACTTTGAGGATGGGTCACCACTCTCATTCAGATGAAATTCTTTGGAGTGAACTTTATTTTCGAAGACCATTTCGAAGTAGGGGTTTTCATCAAAATAAAAATCTATTCTGGAACCTGATTTAATTTCTTCAAATTCTGTTACTTCAACTCTGGTTAAATAATGCAGAGCCTCTTCGTCTTCCTCCCCAAGCAGTGCAGACACTTGTGGATGGTTGACAAATGTGGTTACCAAAAAATTTGTGATTTTAGCGATCAATTCTGACCTCTTCTGAAAAAACGGTTGGCGGAGTTTGTTATATTTTTGTTCTACTTTTAATATTTCCTCACTGGCTTGTTCATTAAGTCTGTCTATTTCATTTTGTACTTCATCAATATGTTCAATTGCTTCTTGCTGTTCTTTTTCTCCCTTCGGCAGGCCGGGAGAGGCCGACTTGTCCTCCAGTTTCGGGGAAGGAGACAATTTAGGTTTCTTGGACTGAGGCAGAAGCGTAGATTGCCGTTTTGGGGCTGGCTAGAAGTGGCTAGAAGCCAGAAGCCAGAGGCCAGAGGCCAGAGGCCAGAGGTCAGAGGCCAGAGGCCAGAGGCCAGAGGCCAGAGGTCAGAGGTCAGAGGCCAGATGCACACAGCAGGAAGAAACTCGCAGGAACCTAGGGTCCTCATTTTTGTCCAGGTTTTCTGGGTTTGTGATTTGTGGGCTGGTTTTTTTTTTTTGCTTTATGTTTAAAAACCACTTATGAGTGAATACATGTGATAATTGTCTTTCTGTGTTTAGGTTTTCTAGCTCCATCCGTGTGAATGCAAAATTCAAGATGTCGTTATTTTTTTCAGCTGTATAGTACTCCATTGTGTAAATGTACCACATTTTTCTTATCCATTCTTTGATCGAGGGGCATTTAGGTTGTTTCCAGGTTCTGGCTATGACAAACAAAGCTGCTATGAACATAGTTGAGCACATGCCCTTGTGGCACGATTGGGCATCCTTTGGACATATACTCGAAAGTGGTATTACTGGGTCTTGAGGAAGGTTGTTTCCTAATTTTCTGAGAAATTGCCACACTGACATCCAAAGCGATTCTACCACCTTGCATTCCCACCAGCAATGCAGAAGTGTTTCCTTTTCCCCACAACCTCTCCAGCATAAGTTGTCATCAGTGTTTTTGATCTTGGCCATTCTTTCAGGTATAAGATGGAATCTCAGAGTTATTTTGATTTGCATTTCTCTGATGACTAAGGATGTTGGAACATTTCCTTAAATGTTTTTCAGCCATTTTAGATTCCTCTGTTGAAAGTTCTCTGTTTAGGTCTGTACTCCATTTTTTTAAATTGGATTATGTGATCTTTTGGTGTCCAATTTCTTGAGTTCTTTGTATATTTTGGAGATCAGACCTCTGTCTGATGTGGGGTTAGTGAAGATCTTTTCCCATTCTGTAGGTTGTCGTTTTGTCTTGTTGACTGTGTCCTTTGCTTTACAGAAGCTTTTCAGTTTCAGGAGGTCCCATTTATTAATTGTTTCTCTCAGTGTTTGTGCTGCTGGGGTAATATTTAGGAAGTGATCCCCTGTGCCAATGCGTTCAAGTATACTTCCCACTTTCTCTTCTCTAAGGTTCAGTGTGGCTGGCTTTATATTGAGGTCTTTGATCCATTTGGACTTGCATTTTGTTCATGGTGATAGATATGGGTCTATTTTCATTCTTCTACATGTTGATATCCAGTTATGCCAGCACCACTTGTTAAATATGCTTTCTTTTTTCCATTTGATATTTTTTGCTTCTTTGTCAAAAATCAAGTGTTTAAAGATGTGTGGATTGATATCCGGGTCTTCTATTCAGTTCCATTGATCCTCCTGTCTATTCTTATGCCAATACCAGGCTGTTTTTGGTACGTAGCTCTGTGGTAGAGTTTGAAGTCAGTAATTGTTATGCTTCCAAAAGTTCTTTTATTGTTCAGGATTGTTTTGCTGTCCTGGGTGTTTTTTTGTTTTGTTTTGGTTTTTTTTTTTTTTTTTTTTTTTTTTTTTTTTTTTTTTTTTTTTTTTTGCTTTTTCCATGTGAAGTTGAGTACCAGTCTTTCTAGGTCTGTGAAGAATTTTGCTGGGATTTTGATGGGCATTGCATTGAATCTGTAGCCAAACCATTTCTAATACAAGACTTAATACAAGACTTAGACTCCTTAGGATACCATAATTATTGAAACATTTACCATATGTTTCTTGCTTAATATTGTTTATGCTGGTTGTAATTCTAATTTTTATACTTGATATCTGTTCTTATTGTATATAAATTTGTTTTGGGTTTGGAACTCTCTTATTTAGACAAAAGGGGGAGATGTTGGGGAACCTCTTGAGTCAATGGCCTTTGAGATGCTGCACCAGGTTGGGCGTGGCCTTAGGTACCAAAAAGGTGCTTGCTTGCATGCCCCCACTCTCTCTCTCTTCTCTCGCCTAGTTGCTGGATTTGGTTCCAGTTCCCTGTTTGTGCAGAGGACTGTGAGTCCCCCCATACAAAGAACCCTTTATTATTCTCAGTTCTGAGCTAGTGTGGGACTACTTTATTCGCGTTCTCCAACAACTAAATCCCACTTTGATACCAGTGTGTTAAAATAAAAAGAAAACACCTTCAGACTAATTAAATTTAAAAGAGTTTATTTTTGCTAAGAAGAGATTTATAAATCTGAGAGTAGCCTAAGCCAAGAGAAGGTTCAGCAAACTTCATGTGACAACGTGGCTATGTCGTATTTATGACAAGAAAAGGACGTGGCATACAGAAAGAATATGATTGGTTATATCTCAGCATTTGCCTATGCACATGGCTCTGAGCAATCTGCAGCCTGTGATTGGCTGAAAGTTCAGCTGATGTGATTGTGATTTTTTTTTTACAAGAATATGCTTTCTCAGATTGCAGTTCACAAACATATTCAGTACTCTTTCTGCTCACTGTATACAAAGGCAGTTATTTAAGAGGGGACTAGAAAGCTAGGCGGTGGTGGAGCACACCTTTAATCACTCGGGAGACAGAGACAGGTGGATTTCTGTGAGTTCGAGGCCAGCCTGGTCTACAGAGTGAGTTCTAGGACATCCAAGGCTACACAGAGAAACCCTGTCTCAAAAACAAAACAAAATAAAAACGTGCACACACACACACACACACACACACACACAACAAGTAATGAAACAATAATAAAAATAGGCACACAGAAGAGCTTACAGTGGGGTAGGGTCTGATGGTGAGGGACTGGGATTGGGAGGCTGACCCCTGCCGCTGAGGTCATCCCAGGCTCCAGGTTATTTGTGGGCAGGGCTTTTAGTGAAGGAGGGAGGGCACACTCAGTTCTAAGCTATGAAACATTCGCCATGGTCACAGGACTGACCCTCCATGAATCAGAATTCTTATTGTCCAAAGTGTTGGGCCTGTCATGCTGCCTAAAAGAATACTGTGAGTCTTTGCCAATTTGGTGGTTATCGTTTATTGAATTTGGTCATGGTTTGCAGGTTGGTAATGGCCTAATTTACTTAGTATAATGTTTAAAATACCTCATAGTTTTCGCAATCTCATTTGTGGTCATCTGTTTTGTTTCTTACATAAATTGAGATCCTATATAACTAATGATGCCGTCATCCCTGACCTTTATTTAGGCAGCTCAAGCGAAAAGCCCAGAATGTCAAGCCTTTGTCCTCTAGCCTGGCGGGACCCCCAGAAGACTTCAAAGCAAAGGCGGCTAAACTCTGATCTCTGGCTCTTAGGAAGAGGAGTGAGAACACAGCCTAAAAGTAATGGAGTGGGTCAGTTTAGAAGCTGATGCTGTCCTGAGAGACCCAGTATGGAGGTACTCAGTTTTCTTTGTTATCATTTATTTGTATATTTTTGCAGGGTTCTTCAGATCTAGGGTCCTGGAAGACAAGTAGCTCTCCCACTGGTCAGCACGCTCAGCCTCGGTCCCCATTCATTTCTTTAACAAGAACTTTCTGGAGTGTTGGTACAGAGTAGATTTCTCCACAGTGAAATACTTTCTCCTGAAAGCACTGGGAGAACAGGCTCACCAGAATGTTCCCAGATCCTCAGTTCCTCTTGGGCACTCCGTGAACAGAAGCCACTGTGGAGGAAAGAGCTTGACAAGTGGTATAAACCCGAGCCCCTGCCACTGTGACGGGGATACACAGATCAGGCTAGAGAAGCTTGGCTTTCTCAGCAGGAGTGAGGAGAGGACTTCCCACCCTCCCATGAGGAAGTTCATGCATTCCAACTTCCTGAATAGATTCCTAAAGATACCATGGGCACCTTGCTTAAGAATGACAGTCTCTGAAGCTACCCATCCAAACAGCCAGTTTTTTGAAAAGATCTTGTACAACAGTTTGGCGGTGTGTAAGAGTGCTGTAAATCGGCCTGTGCTCCTTTGATGGAGTAATTGCACTCCTGGGAAAGTAGGGGGTGGGAGACTACAAAGATGCAGAAATTAGTACATAAAATAGCAAAGGAAAATTCTTCCACTCTCTAGGACAGGTTAGCCCGATGAGAGCCAAGGAGCAAGTTTAAACGGTCAGGACGTGAGAGGTAGAAAAAGGGTGGGAATCAAAGGAGTGCAGATTTCTGGTTGTAAGAAGACGTAGTCCTTGATTAGCCTTCCCATGCTAGGGGTTGATTGGCCCTCGCTCATGCATTGTGCATGCAAGGCAAGTGCTCTTCCGCTGAGCTACACCCTCAGCCTGGATTAACCTTTTTTGAACAAATGGTTAGATTTATTTAGAACCTCACAAATGTCCTCAGTCGTTCTATGCCTAGGGATATGGCCTAGAGAACACACACTTTTAAGTTATTTCAAAGTTTTTATGTAAGAATACATTATACTGATACAAGGGGACTGATCTAATGAGAGTTCACCAAGGCCAGTTGGACTGGGACTGAACAAGCACGTGATCCAATCAGATTCTCTGAATGTGGCCGGATTCTCTGAATGTGGCTGGCCCGGAGCCTTTCTGAAAAGCCATTGACTATGACACTGGGACTTGTTTCCTCTGCATATACTGGATTTTGGGGATCCAGTCTGTTTAGATACTCACCTTCCTGGTCCTGGAGGAAGAGGGGAGGAACTTGAACTTCCCACAGGGCAGGAAACCCTGACTGCTCTTAGGGATGGAGAGGGAGGAGGAGAGGGAGTGGGGGGAGTGGGAGGGTGTTGGGAGGAGGGGCGGAAATGGAAACTTTTATAATTTAATAAACTTTGAAAAATAAAATAAAATAAAATACTGAGAAAAAAAAGAATACATTATACTTGGGAAAATCCCCCCCCAGCCCTCCCATGCTCCCCTTTTATACCCTCCCCTTCCAATTAGCTCCTTTTGTTTCCCTAGACAGTTTCACTTTGACTTTTTTTGTTGAGGGGCAGGCAGAGCTCTCCTCTGCCTTCTTTGAAACAGGGTCCTCTCACTGAGTTTACCAATGTAGCCAGACTGGCAGACCAGTAAGCCCCAGGGAACCACCCTCCCGTCTCCGCCTTCCCAGCACTGGCATTGTGAATGGTGTGCCACTATGACCAGACTTTTTACTTGGTGCCAAGGATTAGCCTCAAGTCCTCAGGCTTACATGGCAAGCACTTCACCGAAAGAATCTTATCTCTAGCCCTTGCTTCTGATTTCCTGTTTTATATATGCCATGCATGATTTTACAGAGATATATAAAATCTAGGAACCACAAACTTGGAAAGACATACGATGTTTGTCTCTAGTTATCTCTAATTGAGTCCATTTTTTCCTGAAAAGAACACAGCTGCATTGTCCTTTCTGGCTGGAAAACAACTCAATTGCATATGTTATGCTTTCTTCATCCCTTCCTTTGACAGACACTGGTGTTGGCTCCATCCCTTAGCTACTGCCAACAGTGTTGCAGTAAGCACCCATGTGCAGGTATTTCTATGCTCTGTTGACTTGGAGGTCTTGGGGCCAATACTCAGGGTGGCACAGCCAGTTCATATGGCAGATCCATTTTTAGTGTTTGGAGAAACCTTATGAAGATTGTGTGTGTGTGTGTGTGTGTGTGTGTGTGTGTGTGTGTGTGTGTGTGTGTGCATGTGCGCCACAATATGTATATGTGAATCAGAGGACACCCTTGGGTGTCTGCCTTTACCTTCCACCATATGTGAAAGAGCATTTCCTACTGTTTACTGACCTGTGGTATCCAAGGCGTCTCTTGCCTCTGCCTCCCATCTCGCCACAGAAGCTCTGGGATTACAGATACCTATCACCACAGCTGGCTTTCTGTAGGTGCTGGGGATCCAAGAACACACTTGCACTGAGTCTTCCCTGAAGCTCCTCAAGGGATACTTTTTTTTAAAAAAATATTTCTTTATTTATTATGTATACACTATTCTGTCTGTGTGTATGCCTGCAGGCCAGAAGAGGGCACCAGACCCCATTACAGATGGTTGTGAGGCACCATGTGGTTGCTGGGAATTGAACTCAGGACCTTTGGAAGAGCAGGCAATGCTCTTAACCTCTGAGCCATCTCTCCAGCCCGAGGGATACTTTTTTAAGGAAAATGTTTATTAGGAAAAAAGCCTCATTGACTCAGTATGTATGACATCAAAAAAACCCCAGAAATACCTTAGCTACTATTTTAAGAAATGTTAAACAGATATTAAAAATAATATGATGAAATTTCATGTTTGGCAAGAATTGTTCAATTGAAAGAAACTAGAAGCAAATTATAGGAGTGACTGCTTGGGGGCAAAGGAAGATAATTTATACAGTCTTTAATACGTCTTGAATTTTTTTTTAATGAGTGTCTTATTTATATTTTAAATTATGGTTATAAAGTTACTCTAGACTATGAAAAATAGGCTACCAGTTGGACATCTGTTTTTCATTTCTTTTTTTTTCTTTTCTCTCTCCCTATTTTTTTTATACAAAGTCTGTAAGTCTCCAAGAGAAGGGAGAAAAGAACTCTGCCTTTTTCTTTTTTGAAGATGGATTTAGAAACTGTTCAGCCCACACCAGACCTCAGTCTCATGTCGTCAGGTTCTCACCCCGGAAGCAGCTGCCTAGAACAATTCTGAAACCATCTTTGAAAAGACCAGGTATATCTCCCTGGTAGCCGGCAGGGTGCGTCGTTCAGGGGGTGGCCCCTTCACAGAAGACCTGAAGGGGACCCTGGGCCAATCTCAGTCCTGGTGTTCCCATCCTCACGGGTTTCCTCTGGGGCCTAGCTGACTTGGTCTGGACTTGGCTGTGACCTCAGGTCAGGGCACCGGCTGCGGCGAAGCTGACCTCGCGCCTTCGGCTCACCGCCCCTTCCACTGCCATAAGCACCGAACTGTCCGATGCCCATCTTGGAAGCCTGGCTACTGGATGCTCACTGGCTGGGTTTCCTGGAGGCTTGAGGTGTAGCGACCAGTTCTCATTTTGTTTTTAACTCAGCAACTGAAAATTATGAGGGTTTCTTTATTTTTCTAACAGGATGAATGGTTTCCTTGATGAATTTCTTTAGTTACAGCCTGTAATTGAAGAAGACTGTGATTGTGTGGTTGTTGGTTTTTGTTTTCTTTTGTAACTGGTAACTTTACCAAAGTGTGCATGCTTGGAAAGATTAGATTAATTTTTATAAAAAATATGAAAAATAAAACTAACAAAGCTAGGAGTAGTGATTCCTATCTGGCTTATAATTACAACACTCAAGAAGCTGATGCAGGAGGATTGCTGCAAGTTTCAGGCCAACCTGGGCTTTACAGAAATACCACCAGTATATCATTTCTGGCCTAACTCCACCTACCAAGCATTATTGTTTTATCCAACATTTGTGGAGTGTCGGTTGGTTGGTGCAGGAACACCTAGACCAAGACTGTTTGTGTCAGGACCAATCAGGTCACAGGGGTAGAGGAAGGGATGAATAAACAAGTCACTGGTTATTGTTCAGTAATTCATTTCATCTATGCTTCTGGGCATTTCTTTGCTTTTACTGTGTTCACTTTTATTATAATTACATTAAATTTGATCTCTCTCTCTGTGTGTGCACAATATGCCTGCAGACATGTTATCAGAATCAATTTGTTCCTTCCACCATGTGAGTCTCTGAATTCATGTGGTCAGGCTTGGTAGCACGTGTGCTTACCCGCTGAACCATCTTGCTAGGCCTTTACTGTTTTAGAATCTACTGCTTTCCTTACAAGAATGTTTTACTGTCAAGCAAGGGCCAATGTTATGTCATAAGCAGCCCTTTGCTGGTTATTCGAATCCCTGAGTGCGTCCTTCATTTTATGACTGATTTAGTTGCTATTGTATTGTCCATCATGGCCTTGGGAGTGGCAGCCTATGCCACAGACATACACATACGTACAACACAGGCTAGTTGTGAGGTAGACCGTATCATGTTGGTTCTTTGGGCTGGTTATGGTGGGATTGCCTAAAGGCACATGTTTCAGAACACGTCCCCCATCACAGAACAATTTATGTGTTCAGAGTAAGTATCCTAGTTGGGAGTTCTGTGTGGAATCTCACACAAATGTGTTGTGCAGTGCTTTCTACCCAGAAAAATACAGGTCTGTAAGCATCAAGTCCATTGCCCTCTATGTCCTCACCCTTTGGCATACACATCTCTAAGCTGAGTGGGGCCTGGTAGATCACTCCATTGCCTCCGGGGCTCTGCTGATCCTGAGTGAAATCTCAGTGTTCATGATATCCAGCATATGCTTAATTCCAGGTTGACGTTTGTGACTACTAACTACTCTCCGTAAGTCTGCCCTTCAGGTAAAAGATTGAGCCCCAATGCCAATTTGAATCAGGTCTGATTTGACTAATAGAACTGCTGAAGACCATTGGGATAACCTGGCATGGATGCTCAGGCACTGGGCCGCTTTGACAGAGTTGCACCGTAATTGCTGGACCGTAACTACTGGACCATTAATGCACTGTATGCTTTACAAAGCCGACAAGCACAGGAGGAAGAGAGCTGGGTGCTTGGCCAAGTCTCTCCAGCCTCGAAAGCTCAGATTCACTGTAGGAAATCTGGTTTTCTGTCAAGGTTGGGAACTTGCAGGCACAGGAAGCAGGAGTTAGCTAAATGTTTCTCCAGATGAACATCAAATAGGATAGTTATCAGATAGCATATCACACAGTGTCCAGCTCAGGAGCAGTGTCCCAAAACCTCTCCTAAGTCACAAAGACAGAACCAAGGACAAGGACAGGTTTTTTTTTTTAAAAAAAAAACAAAAAAAAACAGGATTTCTCTGTAGCTTTGGTACCTGTCCTGGAACTAGCCCTGTAGACCAGGCTGGCCTTGAACTCACAGAGATCTGCCTGCCTCTGCCTCCCGAGTGCTGGAATTAAAGGCCTGCGACACCACCGCCCAGCCAAGGACAGATTCTTTCATTGTCCTATGTTGTAGAAGCACAGGAGATTGAGAGGGGCCTGGTGGAGACAAAGATCACAAGAATTTTGACAGTCTTCCTGCTATTGCTATGCAGAGTATAGATGCCAAGAGCCAGGTCTAGCGAACCCTGTCTTTTAGAGATAAGATGATGGAGGGTCTAGGAGCTAGAGTCACCCCTGGAAAACTGGGAAGCTGGGGCTGGGATTCACCGCCAACTCCTTCTGACTTTCAGATCCTCTCTGAAGGAGTTCCTAGAAAGCAGGTTCAGTGTATGCTTTTGGTACAAGATCTCCCACCCCCCAGTTCAGAGAGTCTTGCTGTTTTGGCTTCTTTGACTACCCTCTTGTTCCTAGCCTGTACCCTTGCCTCTTTCAAACAGGTTTCAGGCCTTCAGGTGGCTCCCGGGAACTAATCTGGAGGGCTTTGGGTGTCATGAAAGCTTTTTGCAGTTTTTTGTTTGTTTGTTCATTTTGTATTTTTAAAGAAAGGGTCTAACTGTGTAGCTCTGGTTTTCCTGGAACTCAAAGAGGTCTGCCTCAGAGTGTGGGAGTAAAGGCTAATTGTCACTGCATCCAGGGTTTATAGGCACAGGCCTTCTATTACAGTCTTTTGGTTTTATAGCAGACCAGTCAGAGCAGATTGTGGGCTAATATTTTTGTGCAAGAACTTATTTACTGCCCCCAGACTAAAGTCCTCATCTAGAGAGGCTAAACACGGAGCCCTGGAAAAAGAAGTCTCTTCCCAGGTGCTATGACATCTAAACTTGGTTTTTAAGAACGGAGGAGAATGAGATTTTTTTTTTTTCAGTATGTGGTCAAGTGATTCTGGCCAATAGAGGATGATCCACACTTGGGGAGGCTCAGACTGCTGCATTCCTCGTGCAATGGAGTGCTTCCTTTCCTGCTAAATGCTTCCTCCCTCCCATCAGTTAAACTGTGTGTAAGACTGCTTCATGGCTCGTTTCCTTGAATTTGTGTCTTAGTCACTGTTCTGGTGCTGTGAAGAGATACCATGACCAAGGAAACTCTTAACAAAAGAAAGCATTTGATTGGGGGCTTGCTTGGTTTCAGAGGCTTAGTCTGTTATCATCACAACAGGGAGCATGGTTGTACATATGGCGCTAGGGAATAAGCTGAGAGCTTTACATCCTGATGCGAAGACTGGCAGAGGGAGAAAACTGGGTCTTTTAAAACCTCCAAACCCACACCAAGTAACACACTTCCTCCAACAAGGCTCACCTGCTCCAGCAAGGCCACACCTCCTAATCCTCCTCAAATAGTGCTACTCTCTGGCAACTTAGCATTCAAATATATGAGCCTCTGCGGGGCCATTCTCACTCAGATTACTACAGTTTATAAAACTCTGTAAATGTTCTTGTCATTGCACATGTCCACACTCTCAGACCTGGTGATGAAAGCACCAGGAGCATTTCCAAAGCTGACTCCTTCCAGTTTTGTGTACTTAGGGCCTGGAGATAGCTCCATTGATGGGATGCTCCCCATTTCTTCCTGGAATGCATGCATGCATGCATAATCACCCTTCTTTGGGCTCCCCAGCTCCTGAGTGATGACGCCAGCTTGGTAAATAAAACATGCAGACATTTTCTTATCAGATATCATTCATAACTCATAAAACACAAAAACCATGAATTTTTCATAAGGTAGGGCCTTTAAAATGTCCTGGGGCTGAAAGAAAGATTGGATAAGAGACTCGGAACCAGTCCAGATGTGGTCATGTGTGCCTGTGAACTCAACACTTGTTAAGTAGAGACAGGGGCATCCTTGGCTACATAGTGAATTCAAGGCCAGCCTAGGCTACAGGAGACCTTGTCTGGTAGGAATAAATGGACGAAAGAATAACAACAACAAAGGTTGGAAAAACTTCCCAATGGGTAAAGCACTTGTTCCATATGCATATAAACTGAGTTCAACCCAAGAAAATATAAAAACATATAAAGACAAATGGAAAGAATTAACTTTACAAAGTTGTTCTCTGACATCCACGGCTTGCATGGCATGCACACTCACACATATCATGCATGCACACTCACACACATCATGCATGCACAATAATAAGTAAAATTCACAAAACAAAGCAAACGAAAAGGCCTATAGTCAATAAGTCAGGGTTTCAAATACACACTCATACAGAAATTGCAAACAAATTTTGTATTAGACTGTTCACTATTGTGCTATTTGTAATAGTAAGGAGAGCATATATAAATAATAGTATCTCCCATTTTTGAGGGCTTATCATATCTCAGACGGCATCCTCAGCATTTTATACACAATGCAGCATGTGCTGGCTAGAGGGACTCTGAGAGGCACTTGCTGTCATGTCACCATACATCATAGCTGACAGCGTGCCTGGGGCTCGGAACCAGTAAATGGCAGAAGCAGAACTGAGCAGAGTTACATGCTTTGCCATCATTCAGAACAACCCAACTGTCCTGCAAATCAGGGACAAGCTTCATAAATACGGCACTTGAAGTTCTACATGGTGACCATCCTCCTACCATAAACAACCGTCAAACCAGACAAAATGTATGAAACTACATTTGTTTGTAAACAGTGAGAACCGTGACTCTCGGAAAGGAAGCAAGCAAAGTGAGTCCTACTGCCTCCCTGGTTTCCTCCTGAATGCACCTGCTGATGCTGCAGTGATGGGGACTCCAAGCAGAGCATGCAAAGACTGACACATGGCTTAGACATCCGGGACCTGTGGGTCATGTGTGAGAGAGGAGAGTGTTCAGAGATGCAGCTCCATGGAGTTCTTAAGTTTTCAACCAATGCTAACTACGCAGGTTTGGGGTGAAACTCCGTAAGTCTGACAGAGCAGCTTGGGCCTCCCTATGCTGGAGGAATGTAGAAACCTCACTATGTGCACTTAGCATTCAACTGAGACTCTAGAAAAAACATGCATTGGACTGGTGAGAGGTCTAGTTGGGCAAAGGTGCTTGCCACTAAGCTTGATAACCTGAGTTTCATCCTCAAGGACCCCATGGCGGAAGGAGAGAAATGACTCTTGCAAGTTGTCCTCTGAACTGTGAATGCATACTGTGACACATGCATATTCACTTGTGTGCGTGCACACACGTATGCGCACGCACACACACACACACACACACAGAGTTAATCAATCAATAAATGTAATCTTTTTTATTGAGATTAGAAACTTTTTTTTTTTTTTTTTGGTTTTTCGAGACAGGGTCTCTCTGTAGCTTTGGAGCCTGTCCTGGCACTTGCTCTGTAGACCAGGTTGGCCTCGAACTCACAGAGATCCACCTGCCTCTGCCTCCCGAGTGCTGGGATTAAAAGTGTCTGCCACCACCACCAGTTGCACCTGTTGCTCTTGCAGAGGACCTGTGTTTGGTTCCCAGAAGGAACGTGATGACTCACTGCTGTCTGTCCTCCAGTTCTACAGGGTCTGATGCTTTTTCTCACCTTCTTGGGCACTAGGCACACACAAAGTGCAGGCAAAATACTCATACACATAAAATAAAATAATAAAATAAAATAAACTGAGTAAATTGGGAGCTTGTGAAATGGCTCAGCAGTTAAGAGCACTTGTTACTCTTACAGAGAACCCAGTATCTACATGGTGACACACAACCATCTCTAATTCCAGTTCCAGGGAATTCTGTATCCTTCTTAATCACTAAGCATGCACACAGTGCACGTGCATCCATGCAGGAAAAACACATATAAAATACATAGAATAAATACAATAAAAACTAAAATGAGCCGAGTGGTGGT